ATTGTGCCGTGACAATCGTACCGGAACATTCGTATGGGTGTCAAACGCAAAAGATGTCGAGCTTATGAAAATAAAACAAACAAACAAATGAACAAGAGAGTTATGTTCTTCATTCGTAAAACATACGCGTTCACACACGCGTTACGCTGCATGCATAATAGATCACTCCGCGCTGGCAATGTCGTTCGTGGTAATGCATAGTTATCGTTTACGAAATTTCGGGGCTTCTTGCGTCATGAAGTCGACTTCATTATTTTAGTTGTTTTTGTTTGCTCATTTTAAATTTGTTTATCGTCTCTTCTGGTAAGTCTTGCAAGACGAGAACACTAGGCTTCAGTGACGATCATTTTTGTGCTAAGCTTAAGCCATCATGAGAGGATTTCTCTTGTTCTTAGTTTCTTTTTTTTTTGCAGTCACGTGCTCACCATGGTGGTGGGGAACAAACAGTCCAAAAAATAAACGAGTTGTATGTTGTAGGTGCAGCTCACTCAGTAGACTTTATTAAATATTAAACGACTTACACATTGCCGAAAAAGAAAACAACGAGGACTGCTGCCCTTCACGGTTATAGTCAACTGCACTTTTCCTGCGCCTTGGCGAACTAGCTCATCTCAGATGCAAAAATTGCGTCGGCTTCGCCGTCAGCTGATGTTGCGTGCGGCTAAGCCCACGCGCAGGGGCAAACATCCGGCATGGCGTTTTTGCGCGTGCATAACATGGTCCCTCCCATATTGTTTGTTTGTTTGTCTCTTTCTTGAGTTCACCCCTGTTTCTTCGGGCTGTTATTCTTGCAGAACTAAGGGTCAACAAGAGTAGGAGTGAACTAGAAACGAGAGAGATTGCTCATTTCGTTCCTGGAGAATAGAGGGCATATAGAGTTTTTTTCGGACGACCACAAGAATGTAATGAGCACGCTCACTTTGTGGTTATTACCGCCGTAATACCAGACGCGGTCATTTGTCGCCTTGTGGGGATTTCGTTCTGGAGTTACCTTTCAGGTTGCCCTCCGAGGAAGTTGAAAACTCGAGCTCCATTTCTGCGCTCCCAAAAGAGACGCTGGCAACGCGCACATTTCTTGAGTAGCAACCACAGACGATGAAACAGGCTATTATGGGCTCTTCAGTGGTCACAAAACACTACAGCAGCTCGCCTATTTCATTCGCCGAGAAAAAGGCTCATTCTCGTGTGGTAGGAACGCAGGAAAAAAAAAAAACTCCCTCTATCTCGTAAGATAATGATTATGGTCGTTTAAGAAGAGAAGAAAAAGACACAAAAACCACTGACTGTTTTCATTTGTTAAGGCAACTTGAGAGCAGGATGTGTTGGTTACTGATACACGGAAAAATAATGTACTACTGCCCATTGTTGCTTGGGACAATTTCGGAACTGCCCTTATTGCGTCATCATTCTGTGTTAATAATGTATTTGTTAGGTTTTGTGTTTTAAAAGAACGACTAAGAACAGTGCTACCGAGGTTTCATGTTTGCCAAGCACACGCGTTAATAGAAAAAAAAAGAATTACGGAATGGCGATAAGTTGAGCTGGTTTGTACGGATTCATGAATAAAGAAGGAGAGATCAAGACAACATGAACAACGGCTTTTGCGTTTCCTTCTTTTGTCATGAAAGAAGAAAAAAATGTTGCAATTGAGAAGTAAGAGAGATTTGGAGACAGAACTGCACTGTCATTTCTGGTTCTGTCAGCATCTTCATAAAGCCATGTTCTATTGTTTTGTTCGCGCAGTTCTCAGTGGCATGGTAAAAGAAAAAAATTAGTAGTAGGTTACAGTGTGTACGTATTCGTTTGAATAAAAGAACAGCGTGTCAGCCAATAGAAAGACGTGACGTGTTCTACAGGCTGCAATGTTCCAACCACGCTCACAGTTATAAGCACTCTCTTGAATGAGAATCAATAACAGAAAAAGGGACTGTAATGGCAGCAGTCTTGCACCATCCTTAAATTTTAAGATAGTGCAGTTTATAATTCAGTGAAGAGAACCTAGCAATAGTACACGTTCAAAGTACAAGAAAGTATATGAGATAACATCATAAACTAGTAAATAATACATATAAATGGTAGAAAAGGCAAGAAAGTTTCTCGGTAATTTTCTAAACACTAGAAATTACAACTACATAAGTAACGTGTAAATTAGTGAGAGAAGTGTTAGGTTACATTTGAAACACAAGGTCCGACACAAGTGCATGATTTTTTTTTCAAAGAAAGAGAACGGTGGTATGGACCTTTTAATTGTCATTCAAATGAAAATTTTGCCAAATGTCAGGCCCCATTCTTGCTCGAATGTATCAATAAAGAGTGCTTACCAGCGCAAACGAAAGGGCAGGAGGGGACAGGAGAAGAGACGAGACAAAGCGCTGAACTGCCAACAATTTATTTCTTGCGAATGTCTTCGCTTTTATACATTTACCAGTCGCAATAGTCATGCGCGAAACACAATGACAGTGCATAAGTACATCACACCGACAAGCAAAGAACAGCTTTTCCTTGTCGGTGAGCGCGACAGAAGGGGTGCTAACGCAAGCATCTTTCACTGAGCAAATCTTTTCTGCCTCTATGACCTCGCGTGTGGTGCGATCCCTGCATCTTGCAACAATAGTACACTCTGAAAATATTGGCCGGCAGCCACACGTGTTGTAGTGAACGGACAGCCATCCTTGTTTATAGTGATCCACATCCTGTCGTGATCCTTCCTTGTCGTTTGCGCTGGTAAGCACTGTTTATCATGTTATAACAACACGCCCAATCTTACTGTCTCTTGCATATATCGCTTTTGAGACTACGAAGACGCAGTACAGTTGAAATATGTCTGCATTAAAATAATTTCGAAAAGTCATATGGAGAAAAAGAAGTGTGACGGTATTTTCTTACCCTTCTTCTGACCCATTGCCACCAAAAAAATACTTACGTCATACTGATGCCTATCAAGTAGTTTGGCAAAGCGAAATGTAACGAAATACTTGCAACAGAAACTTAAACTTTGTATCGAATGCTGAGTAGTTTATTACAAGTGCGTAAAACTTTGGCAGCGGTATCATCAATGCATTATGACACTTCACCGGAGCTGCTGCGAAGGGCACATATGCTTTTTAGGTTGTACGTGGTTACAGTTTATTTGTCACTGGTGGACACCAGCGACGAATAAACTGTATATACGCTTCACTTGCGTATATAAACGAGGTATATATATATATACAATATATGTATTGCGAGGTTGCGCATATATATTCACTTGCTTGAATAAACGAGGTATATACGCTTCACTTGCGTATATACCTCGCTTCTAGTGAAAACAGCAGTGAATTGCCAGAACCAAAATGAAGTAATATCTCCGTCTGGATTCGTGGGGTACTAATACAACTTGATACATATTTGATGAATTCGAGGACTAGAGCTCGACAAGCGCGTGTGGCCTCATTACTTGAAGGTGCTGAGAGGCCACGTGGCTGCTACGTCATGTCGTGAGAGTAACTTCATTATCAAAGTGTTCTTCCGGATTTGGATAACGTTGCTATTGACGCAGATGTAGAGTCTAAAAAAACCTGACACTCAGCTTTCATATGGTAATAAATCAACTCAAACTATGGCCCAATAAGGATTTCATATAAACTCAAAAAACGAAGAGCAAGAAAACTTGATTATAATTTTAAAGAAGTGAAAAAGAAAGAATGAATCAGTAAAACGAAGAAAAATCTGGCTAGAAAAACGCGGTGTCCTTTAGTGACACAGCGAAAACGCCGAGGTAATTCTTTGGATTCCGGTCGTGAAGCGGTGTCGTTCATTACACGCGGAGAAAAAAAAACGAGCCTTGCTTCTCGTATGCAGCTTTGCATATGTAAATCGAGCGGATTAAGTGGATTTGTGATAATGCGCGACGGTGTGCTACTTCAACAAAACCGGTTAGTACGTGCAACACATTGACGTACACGGCTTACGCCATCCCTGGCTTGTCTTCGCAGTGCTCTGTTTTCCGGCCCCGTGTTTTCGCAATCAGCCGCTCGTCGACTCACGGTGCCAATGGGTTTTTCTTGAAATTATGAGGAGGGGGTTAGTACGGACACACAGATGAACAAATGACCAGGCTCGGAGTGCTTACCTTCGAGCATCAGAGACAGGGGTTGAGGAAAGCAGGATGGGAATGTTGGTTGAAGGGTCTCTCCGGGAGGGGGGAGTTGTTGGGCAACAGAAGGAGCAGTAGTGGATCAAGGGTGGTGAGGTTTACTCGATCACATGATCACAGAAAGAGAACAAACAATAACGACACAGGGAGCACTGTTCAGTAGGGAATGTACACAAGTGAACGTAGGCTGCTCGCATTGCAGGAGTCTACATACTGCTTACTCTATTTTTCTCAGTTCTAGGTCGTGCTATTCAGTGACAAAACAGCAATATAGCTTCCATTTTGACCAATGACTTTTTTGTTATTCTGTTATAGTACTCTATACGATAAGCAACAGACGCTGTGAAATTTCACTCGGCCTCAGCAACTGCTTAACGAAGTGAGTGCTTTGAAAAAGCGCCACCATCTTTGCTTGGTTAAAACAGGCTTAATTTTGAACTTGAGAGTGCGTGAATCTGCCGACTCACGTAAGTAACGTTTTTTTTTTACACAAACGCTGATTCGGACATAAATTTATTTTGTGCCAACGGTGCAAACATTTAATCTGCGCGTTTTGTTGGCACGAAATGTTCCAAAAGCAGTCCAACTACAAGTATGTTTTGCAGCTGGAAGACCTGCGAAACATCTCTTTGATGCTCGAGCAACGATGAAGATTTCGCTGCTGCTTCAGCATAGCAGAACCTGACGGGAACAGTCGACTAACTACACTTTCACTGTCTTTTTACGCTTTATACAACTGAAGTGTTGCAGTCATTCGCAGGAAACATTATTTAGGCGTATGTGAAAGACAGGACGTTGAGCTATACCCGCACAAGATCTGAGCGGGTCAGAATCTTCGTGCCAAAGGATAGCCATAAAATAACAGTTCTTTTGTGACTGTAAACTCTCTTTATTGCTTAAAGAGTTACACCACGTGTGAAACAACAAATCAACAATGAGTTCATGTGCTACGACGCCCCTTTAATGGGACAAGTATGTTTTTTTTCTATGGTAAATACTCCAGTGCTTCTAAGGCTAACAAAAAACAAGAACACATGTGGTTTCCAAGTGCTTGATAGTTACAGAAGTGACACTATAAAGCTTCGATGCCTCTGGTAGGACTGTTGAATTGTCTGCGTAATTGGCTGGCAGTTGACATACTGCTTAAAAGTACTATGACTAACACACTGCGCACTGACTTAAACTGCCAGCTGGCAAAGTTCTTAATAATAGTAACAGAGAGAAACACTCGAGAGGGTGATCAAAACACAATAATCGAGTGCTGCGTTCAGGTTGCTAAATGAAATACACTCATCTTCAAACACGTTCTAGCTGCCTGATTTCCCACTTTCCTGCAAAATAACTGAGGAAGCGAAATATTGATGTGACTTAACACACGCGCGAGCTCATAGTGGCACGCAGAACCACCTCTAACTATAGGCTTACTTTTGGCAGCCCAGCTATTACCCCTGTTTTGACTCATTTGGTGTCGGGACTGTTCCCGTGGTCCATCTCGTATTGTCTTCTCGTGTCTGGACTGAGCTCGGCAAGGAGTTGCTCTCTGGTTGGAGGGATCCGGCCACCGTAATCGTGGTGGACGTGAGATTCATCACCTTCGGAATCACCATGACCTCCAGCACCATGGCGACCGTCACCGTTGCCGCCTCCGGCATCTCCTCCACTGTAGCCGCCATCGTCGTGGCCACCATTGTCACCGTTGCCATCAGTATCGTGATTTCCACTGTCACCATTGTCACCTCCATTGTCCCCACCGTCACCTCCATTGTCGCCACCATCGCCTCCATTGTCACGACTTCCAGCCCCACTGTCGCCGCCAGAGTCACCGTCATCATCACCTCCAGCTCCGGAGGACTCGGTGGTGGTCGTTGTCGAGCTTCCATCGTCTCCGCTATCGCTGCCACCAAATCCGTTGTCTTCCGTAGTCGTGTCGTCGTGAGGTGACGGCGTGGTAGTCGTGCCGTCTCCGCTGCAATCACTGTCGCAATCAGCTGTCGGCGAGGAAGTAGTGGTCGTCATCTCCTCTCGTTCTATGTTACCCGTCTTCTCTTCGGGGGTGTCAGTGCTGCCGCCGAATCCACTGAAAACACCGCTACCTCCTGACGCGTCCGGGCTTTCATCGCCATGATCTAACGTCGTCGTAGTGGACGACGGCGTCGTTGCGTCGTGGTCACCGAAGCCGGGTGCATCCGCCTGCGGTATGTCAGCAGGTACATCACTGTGTCCTTCCGTTGTCGTAGTCGGTGCCTCTGTGGATGCGTCATGGTCACCGAAGGTGGACCCATCAGGTGATCCTCCAGCTGCTCCTCCAGCTGATCCACCGGCATAAGGAGGATACACCATCAGGTGATCCACTAGCTGATTCACCAGCTGAGCCATCAGAAGATCCATCAGCCGATTCACCAGCCGATCCCACAGAGGATCCACCAGCAGATTCACCAACTGACCCGTCAGCCGACCCGTCAGCCGATCCACCTGCCGATCCGTCAGCCGATCCGCCAGCCGATCCGCCATTTTCTCCTTCAGAAGATCCAGCACCGGATCCTTCCGCGAAACCACCACCAGGAGCTGCAGTAGTCGTTGAAGTAGCCTCCGTGGTGGCACCATGGTCACCATCATCACTAGGTTTTGGTGTAGTCTGAGCAGTGCCGAATATGTCTACGTCGTGACCTTCGCCAGGCTTCCTTGGTATGGCCTCATTATCAGAGACATCGAATATGACGCCCGTAGCGATGACTGGAGGAGCGTCGCCGTGGAATACGAACTTATCCTTGTCCTCTCCGCTTCCTTCGCCGGTAATTCCAGTTGTCGCCGGAGTCGAGGGTGTGGCTGCTCCAGCGCTTGCGTCAGCAGAGCTGGCGTCCGGACTCTTTGTCGTAGCTTCGCCCGCTCCCGAGGAAGAACCGCCGTCACCGGCAGAGTCGCCACCGGCTCCGCCTGTAATCACACACAGATCAGGGCGACAAGACGTGTCAAAGGACGACAGCGTTGTTCGGCAGGTAGCGATGCGCAAAGCGTTTCCGGCGAAGCCTTGTGCGTGCGAGGACGTCAACGTCGAGCCAGGTCGGCCACGTTAGCTGAGGCGCCGACAAATCCAGTAGTAGCAGCAGCAGCGGCAGCAACAACAGCAGCAGTAGCAGCACGCGGGCAAGCGAGTCAGAACAGCCGCACTCCTCCACCAAAATGGTTCATGAAAGCGGCGTCCAAACGTCTGGCGACCAGAAGCGGTTACCAACGCACGTGATTATTGCGTTAGCCCAGCATGTTTTGCAAACGGGCCAAAGCACAGAAGAGCGAAACAGAGCTCAAAGTCGTACGCGTGTCCAGAGAGCTCGCGGTGGCGACGGTGACTCAGTACGAAAGGTTAGGCACTATGCCACAGACAGGAAAGGAAGAGGGTTATTCGACAGGTCTTTCGTTCAAGGGCGAGCAAACAGAAAGCACGGAGCTTGCACATTTAAGACAACTCGCAGCGAAATCGCAGAATTCAGAACAAAAAAAAAATAACAGAACTGCATCGCTAACGTTTGTACAATGATATATACTACAGTCTCATATTACTCACTTACTGACACTGGGGAATCTTGACGCTTGCAACATATGCCTGCCAACGAAATAGCTCCCGAGATCAGCACGTTTGCATTCTCGGAAAGCAGCACCAGTTTAAGCATAGGTTTCAGAAGGTTCATTTTTTTACCCTTCTATGACCGATACTCAACTAAGGGTCAATTCATTGGTCAGCAGCTACTCATTCACACAATGACATGACGTTCTTTGGAGACACTTGGGCTTTGCACCTCACCACACCATCTTATCGTCGCTTTCAGTACTAGCAAGTAAAATACCAGCCATATTGAGACGACCACGGCAGGACTCATTATGGGGACCAAGTGTCACATATGCATGATCTCACACTGCATTAAGCATTCCCGTATGGAAACTCGTTCGTCATGATTCGCAGATCTGTATGCTGTCCTGCAGAATAGTAGCACGGATATTAGCGGGTCTTCCTCAACCGACGTGGCAACTGCACTAACATGCACAATGAAATGCTCGACGAATATCAATACGCAACCGCTCGTCACAATTGCGCAACGGCGAATAAAAAAAACAAAAAAACGTAGCCGCTTGATCCTCCCGTTGAAACCCCTCTGAACTCAGCCGCCAGCGACGAGGGCCACAGCGCAATCGCTCCGTAATCGCAAAGGGCACACTCATCATGGAGCGCCCCGGTTTATCACGAAAAAAAAAAAAAAGATGGCGGTGATTGAGACAATGCCGGAACTCGCGAGATATCGGCAGGCGCCACGCATCGAAAATTCCGCGTTCGTCGACGCTCCGAGAGCGCCTCAGTGCCACTTGAAGTCGTTTTGCATAAACCTACGGCGCGAAGACGGCGTCTCATGGTGCGTACAGCGAGCACGCTTGAGAGTCTCGCAAGCGCGTGCAATCTCTTTCTCCTTCTTTCTACGCTCGAGTGGTGTTTGCTTTGTAGCGCACGTTTTGCATAGAATAACGGCTGGCGCGACCGAGCCGACCTCGGCGGGAGAGAGTCCTCTATAAGCAGGCCACGATCGCTGAAGACACGACCGAGTAAAAAAAAATCCTTGATCCCGATGCAACCGCCCATTTCACTTGATATGCATCTCTCCTTCGTCGTCGGACAGGTACGCTACACGGGTCCGAAGCTACGCTCAAGGCAAGGCACGGAAAAATTACGGAGAATCCGTCGAAGTGGTGGAGTAGGGTACTGAGTGTCCAATGTATCCGAGGCAGCGTTCTTGTTGTTTGTTTTTTTTCTCTAAGACTACTGAGCGTGTAGGGTGAAATAAAATTAAAAAGAAACTGGCAAAGTTTCCACGCGAGTCAAGGATCACGCGTGCTGGAAGGCTTGGCGTTGCCGCTCTTGTTTTTTCGCCGTACGCTGCCTTGACCATTACCCACTCTATGACTCATCGCTCAGTGTTATGCGAACCCGTCAGGCCGGCTTAGTGACTATGGCGTAGCGCTGCTAAGAGAGAGATTGTGAGCCAGTTTGTTTCCCTGTCACGGCGTGCCACATTATGGCTGAAAAGCAAAGGAAAAAAAAAAGACCACCTGTGTGCTTTGCCATGGCGCTTAACTTTCCGGTATTTGTCTACGATTTCTGGTTTCGTTCACGAAACTTAATGATGCAGCAACAGAGCACGTACACTTCCTGGTTAATTAAGCCGCACCATACTTGCTTTCTATTGGCTGCATAAGACAGAAGGAATAGCACGCATCACACGAAATACCAACCTCTCTTACACAAACACTCAATTGAAGCCTTCGAAACGAAGCTCAACTGTATGCCAAACTCGACTCTACTGTAGTTCCGCGCTGTTTTTTGCTGTTATCAGTCTCTTCTCCTTTACTTTCATGACAAGCGACGAAAGTTGGTCTTGCCTTTAATTCGATAAAAGATAGCCTTTTAAACAACGTTGCCAGACAAATGATAACAGACCTTGCAGGCCACTGCTATGACTGAATACTCTCTGGAAGTAGAATTAACAATGCATCCAGATGTAGTAATTTCAAATAGGAAGCACTCTAGTAATATGGAGTGCCAAAAAAGGATTTATCAAAATGTCGAATGATAAGCAGAATGAATAAGTTTAGTCGAGCAGATGTATTTAGTAATAAAAGCCAGTTGCCTCACGCTTCACTTAAAACATTATTACAGAATCGTAAGAGCATACAAATTCAATACACTAAATAACGTAATATCAATTTAGTCTGCACGAAATGCTCAATGTTTTATTACGCTCACTTCATTTGTTGTTTTGTTTAGGAGGGCTCCGTATCCCTGTCAGTATTACCATTCGTCGATAAGCTTCATATCGATCACGCTATGTCAGTTGGTTACCTTCCTGCTTGTTTCTCTTGAGGCATTGTGATAGGTTAAATCCTGGTGGTGTAACACGCCGAAAATCTAGCCTTTCATAACGTCGAGTGGGCTCTGTTAGTACCCACACCTGATGACAAATTGTTTCATGAGCATAAACCGGTAATCCGCTATTCGCGGCATTCCTTTGATGGAAGGGCTTCGGAGAATGGTGTTTTTTTTTTCATTTTTCTTCACGCTCACTTATTTTTCTTTGAGCAGTAAGTACAATGTGACGAGGCGCAGAACAGAAAACACTGGAAACTTCACCTATTTTGTTACTGTTCGTCCTGTAACATGCCTCTGTTTACACGTAAGCGCAAACCCGGAAGTTTATCGGGACACTGGTACGAGTCAGTTTGATCATGCTATCGAAGCGAGTTAGTTTTAAAGCGACACACAACGGAGATAAGCAACACGACAGCACTCGTCTGCGCGAGTTCGTTTCTTGGTGTTTGGTCCCGTTTGCTTCGCTCACGAAAGAAGTTGTTTCATGGTGTATTTCTTTTATCTTTCCGTAGTGTCTTCACAGTCTCCTCTTTCTTTCCGCTTTTTTACCCTTTCCTAATTCATTCTAAAATACAGGGTAGCAAACCAGCGGTTTATTCTGATCAGCCTCTCCGTCTTTGCTGTATCTTCCTTTATCAGTATCTTGTCTTTCTCCGATCGCATTATTTCGTTGAAAAAAATGATAACGCGTGTTCCGTATGGAATGTTTCGTACCAAGCTCAAGAGTGTTGATTGAATGCACTATGAGCAAAATGACTTCCTGGGTAGAAGTGTACTGCTGCGCCGTGCTGCCTTGTAGCTCTGAGCGAGTCGGAACACACGCGCTCAACAACTTTTCACTCGGTATGGTACGTAACTGCAACGTGCGGTTCGTTCAATATATATTGTCTAGACATGGTCGAGAAAGATATGATGGTAACAAAAAAATCTGTAAAAAAAACGCGATTTCACCACGACTTCGAAGCGCGCTGGCTCAATCTGAGCTCGCAGACCGTTATTATTAGGCGTCGCGTGTGATCGTTCTCTTGTTGCCGCCACCGCTTCACTCGGCGAGTGCATTTTCCATTAGAACGCTTCCGGACTTCGCTCCCTACACGACTCTGCGCCCTCCAGATAACGCGGCGAGATGCTGAACATACAAACAAACAAACAAACAAACAAACAAACAAACAAACAAACAAACAAACAAACAAACAAACAAACAAACAAACAAACAAGTTTCACGAGAAACGATGAGAACGCGAAAAAAGTACTGACGAAAACGTATAATATTAACAAGTGTGCACGTGCGCGTATATAGTATGCAAATACGGTATGCTTCTTGATTTTTTTTTTTCACGTCCTACCTCTCGACATTTTTAAGTTTTTTCTCGATAGCTCCCTCCCCACCATCCAGCGACCGCATTTTATTCTTTCTTTTTACATTTTTTCTTCAGCTAAAATATTCCACCACGATGTTATTACGTGTGGAGAGCCAAGAACTATAGGGAAGTCAAACGCGTCACAAAAAACATAAAATTATATATATATATATATATATATATATATATATATATATATATATATATATATATATATATATATATATATATATATATATAATATGTTTTGTGTGTGTCAAGACATGCCAGCAATCTGAACAGAGCCCGCCAGCGCTTTTCTGATGAGAAATTCTATACCGCCGCACCTGCAGTAGGTTGTTAAAAAGGTGCAGGTCACGCAAGAAAAAGAAAAAGAAACAAAACAAACAAAGTGAGCTATTTCTCATATAACGTGGCTCGCTCCCTCGAGGAATTTCATATTTCTGCGCCGTTTTTTTTTGTTGGTTCCACCGCTCCAAGCAATGCCTTCCTCTATCACTTCATTTACAAATCAGCATATTCCGTCACTTGAAGCCTGGCCGCTTCATTTCAGGTTGTAGGCGCAGATGTTATTATACGGTGCCCCAGTACATATGCGCTGTTCATAATTAGGTTTCCCTGTGGCATTTCGCTTCGTTCGTAGTGGGTATCTTTTTATTCTC